AACTCAAAATTTCAAGAGTCATCAACTTGTTCTCAGCAATATTTTACAAGATGATGCCAAAAATTGAACTGAACATGTTTCGGGAACTCAAAAAACCAGGTTCAAATTCAGTTTTTTTAATAGAGCAAATTAATGGTTTGCTCCCTATCTAGTCTTCATTATTTTTTAATGATTTAATTCTACCAAATTATGTTACCCAAAAACCTGAGTCATGCTTTAGGGAATAGACATTTAATATGCAAATGCACAGAATTTAGCTGTACAGACAATTCAAGCTGATGGTGAAAATGGACAAGAGTTAAAAAAATTTATTCAACCCTGGAGTGTGAGCTCCCAAAACATCTTTAGTTCAGTTTTGATGTTGATGAAACCAAGTTGATGGTCCTTGAAATGTGTCACAAAGGTTGCTAAAAATAGGATATTCGAATTAATAAAAATGTTTAACTAAAAGGCTAAAAGAGGCGCAATCATTGTATTAATGTACTAACCAACTAACACCATTCATTGTTTTTTGTACACAGTCAAATATTTCAATAGTCGGGTGTTGATTTTGATGAAACAAAAAAGTGAAAAAATCGATACCGGCTCTGTATCTAACAACCGTCTAGTTTTTTCGTGACTCCTAGGTAACTTTGTTGTCCTGCAAAATTTTAATAAAACTGGGTTAATAATGCCTATATGTGATATTGAAGATGGCCTGTGTTTAGATAGGAATTCGGACATTTTTTATTTCCAGATATGAAAACACCCTATATAACAAGAAGTGGCGCATGCTTGGCATCATGTGCCTGAAACTTGTTTAAAATGAAACGCACCTGATAAGGCAACCTGTTGCCTTTTACTTCGTTGCAACAAAGGTGCCGAACACATGATGAAAACTGAAATATCCATCGCATTTTTGTCATGGGCGGTTGAGTCGCAACAATTTGTAGACCACTTCCACTTCTGGTACATGACAGCACTTGTTGCGGCGTAAATTCCTTGTAATGGGAACGTACCCTAACTGAACGTTCTTGCAACAAAATCAACCCGGCAATTAGGTTCCAACCCTCATGGATGTGAAGCAGTGCTATAAGGTTTTCTGACGGGAAATAATAAAGTATCTAAGATCTGAGTACAGAAAAGCTTAGCCTTGAATAATTCCGGATACTCATTCTTTCTAAATACATTATATTCTGAAATTCCCCTTGTATACGTATGGTGTGTATATGTGGGAGTCAATACAATCAATATAACGCTATGCCAGTTAAATTAGCCTTAACTAGTATTTATTGAAGATCTTCGGTTAAGAATAGATGCTGACTAATTTTCACCGGCGCGACTCTATACTGCTTATACATTCACTTTTCAAGCGTATGGCTAGTTTGATATATTTTTGGATGTTTTCAGTTGGCATTCTCATAATTATTAAATTTGTCTTTTATATCAAACGATTTTTAGAGATGTGATGTTCCTCACAAGGTCACATGCTAATTAGACCGGGTTTCTGTATTAATCACGTAAATAATATTTGAATACAAATAATCGATATCATTGATCTTATTCTACAAAAGGATTCCTATTAAGTTGATATTTATATTGCTCCTGCTTCTTGAAATATCCTTATATAGAGTGCTAACAGAATATGGGGCAACATGTACGTACATACATTGAGTCGGGGTTACCGAATCGAGAAGTGACGGTTCGATCTACTTGACTTCACGTTTTTCTGTAACAACTGTAATTGGTCTTGAATAAACATGACGTTATTAGAGTGCATTCCTATTCCAACAAGATTTACTTATTTTGTAGTACTAGAAGTGCACATTCTTGGCACTTGTGCCTAACCTTTATACATTTTTTTCGACCAGGTACCTTCAAAAAAAATGGAAGTTACTAAGTCAGTCAACTTGACATCTTGATTTTTTTTGAATGTCCAGAAGTTGTTACATGGGCCACCTTCTACCATATGCAATAAAACAAATCAAAACCGACAAACCGTTTGGCGGGTGATAAATTCCGTGCCAGTGTGATTCTGTGTGTAAAAAGAAGAGTGTTATTGAATGGGGAATGAGGCATATCCCCCAGGGGGCACCCCATGCCAAGACAAACGTCGAGCAAGGCTACGCGGCCGCCGCGCAAAACGAATCGCCACAATTCGCATAAACAAGGTGTTTTTAATCGTCCAGCCTTATTACTCTCCTTATGTTATATATCACCGGTTTGCACGAACCTCTGCCACCTTGGGCGCTGCTCCTGGTCGATATTATTGATTTTTAATGATCGAATTGTTCGGCAAGCAAAAATATTTTGTTTTACTGGTAGGTTTCTGAACTGCTAGGGTGTACACCTGTTGAGAGACCACCAGAAGATCGAACACAAAGCTTAACAAGGTTTTAGTGTATCCAGTGGCTTTGTTGCTGGATGGGATGCTTGCAGACACATGGACACACCATCGTTTCGTACTTGTTAGCAATAATCTCTACGGTATAGCTCTAATCTGACTCCAACAGAAAAGCGGAAATTGTAATTGAACACAAATATTACCAAAACTTTTATATGAAAAAGTTAGAAGGTTTAGCAATTCTGGGGTTAGCTTTTAGTCAAAATCGAATAATAACTGTCGGTAGTCAGTGAACTTTACGGCCAAAATAGATTTATTAATACAATGGGCGATTCTACGTTGGCATTCACATAGAATAGTCCAAATTCGATACATCCTTTTTAAAATCACAAATTTCAGATTATAGGTAGTGGTGGTTGGTGAGCTGCCACCGGATACAGCCTTGTACATATACGTTTATGAACCAATACATGACCCCTCCAGACTTTTATCTAATTTGCTTGATCCGTTTCGAGATTTTTGATTTTGCACCAAAAAAGTGGTCTATCCTCAGCTTATATTTTACAGTTCTCCATGGTCTTATTCTCAATCTTGTATCAATAAACGCATCTTTCCTCAACGGAAGCCGTGCACCTCTCTCGGATCAAAGTTCAAACGACACAAAAGGCTGCCAATAAAAAACTATTGACTGGCTCCTCGCTCGACCGAATGATTCAATGAGCAGATTAAATAATTCTATCAATGAATAGATAAATTTGTTAAGTCAATTTTCGACCCACGGTCACAAAAACAAATTTAATTCGAATAAAACCGACAGCGACCGTTAACAAACAGGTCCTCTATGAAAGGAAATCAAACAATAGTTCGTTATGTGTAATTCTATCGTCCAGCATCTTTGAGTACAAGTAGTGGTATTGGGAAGTTTGTAATGAGTGGAACGACGATTTCGTGAAAAGTTACATATCTGATATAGATTAGTTACTGTACCTCAGCTCTTCGTGCTGACGAGTTCCAATTAGAATAAAGCAGTGCAGTATATGGTTGGTTGGGCACAGGTCCACAAAAAAATTGTGAATCTGAAGTCAAAAATGGGAGTCGATGGACAATATGAAAGTAGCTTCAACACCAGGATTATAGATTTTGGTATTCTGCTGAACGTCCAACGTATCTCAGATATGCTCATCCACCAGAATACTAAAATCAGTAATTTTGATGTCGAAGTAACTTTCGTATTATTTTCCCAACGACCACAATTCTGATTTCTGGTCACACCCCTTTCATTGTGGTCCTGTGATACCTTTAAAAGTGATGTACCAAATTGGATATAGTAGATTTAAATTAATTTTAGCAAAACTGCAAGAGGTTTTAGACTTGAAAATAGGTTGTTCCGCATAGAAGTACATACGTGATTGTAAGTATGAAAGGAAGAAGAATCAGCTGATTGATTGCTCTGTGACTAACACGTTCTTTAGTAGTCTAAGTGCCAGTGGCATGCAGACGAATAAAATTTTTTGACTAAAATTTATTTCTATGCCACAGGTTTTATGAGCAGATTATATTGATATTTTCCTTTCTGAAACATTCGAACAGAAAGTGGAATATTTCATTTTAGTGTGAATGACTATAACCGTACTGCAATCAGATTCTGAATAGCTCTGGAAAATTCGTTATTTTTCCGCCACAAATCCCATCTGCTATTACAAAAGTATAAAACATTATGTCTATGTAAAGTTTTTCGGTACTTCAGTTTGAGATCTATCACAGGCACCTTATAACAGCTGTTTATCTCTTTTTGGATGCCGAAATACAGTATATGGTTGATTATATTCAAGTAGAATAAGTTAATCGACTGATTAACTAAACTCTGATCCGTATAAAATTGATCTTGGACGAGTCAATACGAGAAAATTTGTGTCTTCCTACTTCCTCGTCCTACATT